TCTCTCTCTCTCTCTCTCTCTCTCTCTCTCTCTCTCTCTCTCTCTCTCTCTCTCTCTCTCTCTCTCTCTCTCTCTCTCTCTCTTTTTGTTTTTTCACATCATTCTGGCACATGCGTGCCTCTGAGTAATAATTAGCTTGCTTTCATTACTTCTCTTCCAGTTGTGAATGCTCGTTTCAAATGGGCGGACGTGATGCGGATTTAGGGCAGTGCGATGCGTTGAATTGTATCGAGTTTTTAACTTTTGAGTAGTATTTACTGTTTAGTACTTAGGGCAGTTTAGCATTTAAGGGGATTCTTTTAGGATTGTCAGTCAGAGAAGACATTGTAAGGATCGTGTTGTAAGAAACTGGAAATTGTTGTCCATCCTTTTGTTTTTTTGGCTTTCTCAGATTTTCACATTTTTTGGAAATTCTTCCGTTCTGGGGAGCAGCAGTGCGGTTTATTTTTGCCCATCCTCGTTACAGCAAAAATAAGTTTTGTTTTTGGTGTTGTTGTTGCTATTGTTGTTGTTGTCATTGTCATTGTTGTTGTTGTCCTCGTTGTTGTCGCTGTCGTTGTTGTTGTCGTTGTCGTTGTTGGTTGCTGTTGTTGTTGTTGTTGTTGTTGTTGTTGTTGTTGTTGTTGTTGGTTGGTTGGTTGTTGTTGTTGTTGTTGTTGTTGTTGTTGTTGTTGTTGTTGTTGTTGTTGTTGTCGTCGTTGTCGTCGTTGTCGTTGTTGTTGTTGTCGTCGTTGCCGTCGTTGTCGTTGTCGTTGTCGTTGTCGTTGTCGTTGTAGTCATCGTCGTCGTTGTTGTCGTTGTTGTTGTCGTTGTCATTGTTGTTTGTTTGTTTGTTTGTTTGTTTGTTTGTTTGTTGTATGGTACCGTGTGTAGTGTTGTTGTTGTTGTTGTTGTTGTTTGTTTGTTTGTTTGTTTGTTGTATGGTACCATGTGACAACTCTTTCAAAAGATGTAATGGCTCTGCATTTTCTGTTCTCACAAAGGGGTTGCATGTTGCCCCCACCCTAATTGGCGGTGGTCAGGGAGTAGGGTTGGGTGGCCGGTCGGTGGAGCTGGCCAACGCAAAGACCAAGTATTTCCCCAGTAGCTGCTCCTCCCATCTGCCCCATGGAGTAACGCCTATGGCGAGCATTCCCCCCCCCCCCCCTCCCCTCCCAACACGCACGCGATGGCCAAACACCCTACCAACACAGACCAGGGGGAGCAAGCCAGCTACCTCAGTTGGTTGGCACCAAGTGTGCCCAGGTGGTCAGTGGGCATTGAACCCATGACCTCCTGAAGGCCACTTGCATACCTAACCAACTGAGCTAGCCCGCTCGAAGGCTGTTAGAAGGCATTGCTCCAATCAGGGACAGCCAGGTTCCCACGATTCATCACAAATCGCAGAGCTCGATCCCCGCCACCAGAGCTCAATCCCGGCCACCAGAAGTCGACATGAGCACGAAGCTAACAACTGGCAGAAGAGAGTAAGTCAGAACCTAACCACTGCTTGATTCAGCCAGCACCTAACCACTGCCTGCATCTTTGTTTCTTTTTTTCCCTTCTTTTTTTAATGCTCCAATCCATTCGCGGAGAGCGACACCTGCTGGGAACAGGGCCCAGCGTCCTTTATAAAATTGCAAGAAAAATACTGGGACCATTACCCGGCTTTGGATGACAAACTTCCAGAAAATGCTATGAAATTCATGAACAACTTATAACCTTACATGTAGTGTCATCTACCCAAAACCAACATTCCAAGTGTCACTACCGACCTAACTGAAACCAGTCATACCTCTTTTTGGCTCATTCCCTTTGAGGAAACCTTGGGTTTGAAGTCTTTTGATGTATTTAGCGGTACCCTGCAGCCCTTCGGCCTTGTGCACTTGGGGAAGCACGCGAATGCATGCTGGCCTTCGGCCCTCTTTTCCTTTTTCTTTTTTCCAAAAGTACCGGCGGTCACCGCTTGTCGCGGTGATAAGAGCAGCCCCCCTCTAGCAGCTCTTCTCCAGTTGCTCCATCTATTGGTGGGGAGCATCACCTGCTGGAAAACAGGTCCTTCATCCCTTTGAACAATGATCCTGATCCGACTTTCTCCTACCTTGCCAGCATTGATTGCGCTGATCACTCCAGGGGATTGACTGCGTGGTTGGTGAGCGGGCTGCAAAGGGGGGTGCCTCTGCAAAGGCGGGTTACCTTTTGCCAGAAAACCGTGCCTACCTAGCTGCCCCTTGCCTCCCTGCATTACTTATCATCCTATGCTGCGAGCCACCTACCCATCCTACCCCATCCTACCCATTTTGCCACTTGCATTCCACCACATTAATCAGTCCCCCCCATACCACTGCAGATCTACCTGGGATAGCGCATTTGCGGGGAAAGGGTCGGGAAAATCTGAGGGGGACCGGAGGGGGAAAGAGCCATCTATCCTACTGTCTTAACCCGAAAAAAAATGTCCGTACGTTCTATTCAACTTACCTTGGAAAAGCGGGTTCCCCGAAATTGCTGAAGTTTTTTTCCGAATAGAACGTACGGTTGAATATAAGTTATATAACATACATACGTTGTATTCAAATTTTTGCAAACTTTAGTTTTTCAAAAAAATCAGAAAATTGAAAATTCTATAAAAAAAAAGAAAGCTGTACAGCATTGCAGTGCAAACAACTTTTACCTGAGGGCCATGATGAAATTCACAACGGAATTCGAGAAGAAAATAAAAACAAAACAATAAAAATAATAAAACATCTTATTAGTTCATTTGAAGTGTATTTAAAAATAATCGAAGAAATCCGGAAAAAAGAAACTATGTTGTACAAAATTGCAATACAAATAACTTTTACCTGATGGTCTTGGAGAAAATCCCAACCATATTCAGGGGGGGGGGGGGAATGACGTCAGTACAATAGGCTCCTGGAAAGTTGTACCGTAAAACTCGTTGTATAATGTACGTACATTATATTCGAATACAACGTACCCCGTACGTTGTATTCGTATACAACATAGCCCGTATGTTGTATTCGTATACAACGTATGTACGTTTTTTCCGGGTTAAGACAGTAGTCCAATCATAAACTCCAGCTTGTTATCCCGCCTTAACGGCGAGGTGTCTCTTTCCTGTCAGAAACCAACCATACCTCGACGTCTCTAAGAATCACATCCTCTCACAATAAGCCTGGAGCTGAAATCAAGTGTGTAGTCTCTTACCAAATGGCAGAAAGCCAAGAGTAAGGGCAGACTCACAGCAGGACTTCTTTGGCTCGTACCTGGACGTAATTGGCGTCAGAAATCACAATTTCGATCAGATTCATCCAGGAAGGCCCCAGTGTGAGTATGCTCTCAAAGGAGCTGTCAACTGGCGGAAAAGTGGCGGCAGAAACTACAATTCCAGCGTCTATATTTACCTGCCACAAAAAAACAGCATCTATTTACCCAAAGCCAGAACAAGCAGGTAATGTCACAACAGTTGGACTCGCTCGTTCTTTTTGTTTGTTTGTTTGTTTGTTTGTTTGTTTGTTTGTTTGAAGAACTGGAAGTCCTTCCTGCCAGCATTGATTACCCTGGATACCAGGGGATTGACCGAGCAGGGTACTTTCTGAGAACTTTGGAAACAGTTGTAGGTTAACAAGAAATCCCAACCAGAACGAGAAGCGGGGTGAATTCCCCATCCCTGCTTTACCCAAGGCTTAGGCTTCCGAAGTTAGGGGGCGTGCTGGGGGGCACCAGTGACCCCCGTGCCTCTTGGCCCGCCTGTTTTCCCCTGCTCGTCTCAACCCTGGTCCTGCCTCCTCTC